CCGCTCTGCCCTGTCCTGCTGACCCCTGGCCATCCCGCTCTGCCCTGGCCCACTGACCCCTGGCCATCTCGCTCAGGTCCCTGAGCTGCCACAGCACTGCCGTTCTCCTCATAAGCCAAAGTAGGTTAAAGGAAAACACAAAAAAATTTAATAAGAAAAAGGGAAAAAGAGAAGCAGACAGAAAGGACAAGCCCAGGGCTAAGCCTGGACACTTCCTACTCTGCAACTGGGAGTTATTGCAAATGGGAGTAATTTAATTTGGGAAACTTGGTCAGCATGGACAAGTTGGACTCAATAATGGTATGGAAGAGGCAATGTGTATTTTTATGTAGCGCCCTGACCAAGCAGTTGGAGGCAGCTAAGTAACAGACTGAGTTTTTTTTAATTGTACAGAAATCCACAGCACAGAAAGATGCCATTCAGCCAACCAGGTCTATATTGGTATTCCATGCTTCCACTGGTCTTCTTCTAGTTGTACCTTCACAATCTTCTTTTCCTTTCTCCCTCGTATGTTTATCTACCTTCACCTTAAAATGTATCAAAGCTGTTGACCATTGTTTCTTTATGAAGTAGCAAGTTTCACTTTCTCACCACTCTGAGGGAGTGAGAGCAGTTTCTGCTGAATTCCTTATTAGGTGTGTTAGTGACTATCTTTTATTCACGGCACATAGTTTTGAAGACCCCACAAACGGAAATAGCAACTCACCCAGGCTCCTTCGACAGTACTGTGATACCTAACACCTTGAAAGACAAGGGCAGCAGAAATATAGCAGCACCGCCAACACCTGCAAGTTCCCTACCCCATTCCCTTGGTACAGTACTGCTGTTCCTTTCCTATTGCTGGGTCAAAGTTCTTGAACCGCTGCCCTAACAGCACTTAGGGGGAGTTACTGCACCCCAAAGACTGCAGCAGTTCAAGAAGGCAGCTCACCCTCACCACCAACTTTCTCAAGAGATGGGCAATAATTGTTGAGATAGACAGCAATGTCCACATCCATGAATGATAGAGTCATTTAGCTGTGCATGTGGAAACAGACCCTTCGGTCCAACTCGTCCATGCCGACCAGATATCCTAAATTAATCTAGACTCATTTGCCAGCATTTGGCCCATATCCCTCTAAACCCTTCCTAAAAACAAACTTTGGTCAAGATCTACCCTGTCAAGCACTTCCGTAATTTTGACGAATTCTATGAGAGCCCTCAGCCTTCTGTCATCTGGAAGAAAAAGCTGCAGCCTGTTCAGTCTTGCTTGTTATGGTTTGGTTCTGGTATTATCCATGTAAATCTTTTCTTGGCACCTTCTCCAGTTCCTTTAGATCCTTTGTATAACTTTGAGACCAGGGCTGGGTGACCTAACCAAGGTTCAATATATGTTCAAAAGTTAATGTGCTACTTCTTGCTCAAGTATGGGCTTGAGGTAGATCCCAATATAGAAAAATTAGGAGCCACAATGCATGGTTATAATTTCTTTGGCACTCAGGCCCTGATTTTGAAGGTTGTTGTGCTATTTTTATATATTATGTTGTGTACAAACTGTGTAAATGATATGTTCAGAGGCAAACAGAATTAACATTTCAGGTTGGTGACTTTTCATCAGCACAGGCCTACAGAAGGTCATCGAGCTGAAACATTGGGCAGACTTTAATTGAGGTATTGGTGGGCTCCCCCATCAGCTTGATTGGC